GCTTCCTGAGCGCCGAGGGCGCGATGCGTACATGAATTATGAGGAAGTCCTGCTCGAGAGATCCATTTTGGGATTACATTGTCAGGAAGTATCAGGCGGGAACCATTGTTGTTGTAAACGGGGGGCCAGGGGCCCAGTTTGAGCCTAGTGACTTTCCCTGATAAAGACAGGGTGCGAGCCCCAGGGGAAGCACTTAAATTGAAAAACACAATGGTCATCGAAGGGGGGATCAACAATACATAGTCTTCAATAGTGAGAGAGAAAACAAGGACAACAACACCAACAACAACATCAACAGCAGCACCAACAACAACACCAACAACAACCACAACAACATCATCATCATCAACAACAACAACAACAACAAAACCAACAACACCACCGCAACAACAATCCGCACCACGGAAGCCCACTTCAGCCATGCACCCAAGAATACAGAATGACCGTTCGGCCCCTCACTCTGATACAAACATGTGAAGACAACCGTTCTCGATCCGCTCCCTGAGCTATTCCGTCTCCTTCCGCGGCGCCAGGGGACCGCCTGACCGAGCATGTCCCACTGGCTGTCACTGCCGTAGCCGTCCTCGCGGCGGGTGGGGGCGACCAGATGGGGCACTCCCAGTCCGTCTTCCCTCCCCCTAGACGTGCTGATCGTCATCCAGTCGCTGCATCGGATCGAATCGGGGCGCGCATCGAAGAAAACTCCATCGGCGCATAATCGAATTCTCATCGGATCGGTTGCGCAGTAATGCACAACTGGTACGCCGCATCACACCTGGCCGCACCGCATCGGCCGATTGTCGAGAAAGAATCGGATCCAGCCGGGTGGCATCAAAATCAAATCGAGCCTGTACAACTCAAAACGGACCGCGGGGCACGAGGATGGACGGAAAAGGAAGGCAGGGCGGGGAGGAGAAGGAGAAGTGGAGAATATCCGCGGCACTGTGGCGGCTGCGAGGGGTCCTGGAGCTGGTCGCTCAAAAAAGGGTTGCCGTAGCCGTCCGCGCCGGGGCCGCCCTGCCAATCGTTCCGCCGATCAACCTCTCTTCCACGTTTCCCTCCTCCTTGGGGAAGCCAGAAAAATCCGATACCGCTGCTCACCAGACCTCTCCCGGAAAGCGTTCTGACCAGGATTTCGAAGCGAATCCGGCAGCGGCGACGAGGGCCTCCAGAAAAATCCAAACAGGGGGTAACGAGGAAAGGGTAGCGGCATGGGTATCGTTTCCTCCTGCCGCCTCCTCCTCCTCCTCCTCCTCCTCCTCCTCCTGCTCGTCCTCCATTCCCCCCTCCTCTTCGTGCTCGTCCTCGTCCCCTGGCGCCTTCCACCCTCGCCCACCCCTGGGCCCCGCGACTGTAAGCCTCTCGGATGCCCGTGCCACAATGCGGCCGTGCACAGCTCCGCCGGCAGCATCCCTCCCCCGACCCGCCTTCCTCCCATCGTGTTCGATGTGTCTTGTTGTATTTCACAGGCTGGCTGAGACCGAAGGACGTTCCCGAAATTCTGTATAGAATAGGGGTCCGACCACAAGAAGTCTTCCACAAGAAGTCCACCCCTGAGACCTCAGGGCGTCCATGGATTTTTGGTGCGGGAACGTCGAGCTCTCCATCGCAAAACCATCGAAACCCGAGAAACCCAAGGCACCCTGGGGGCAAGCAGGGTGTTTCTTCGCATGGGCCTCCACTGTACATGCACAGGCAGTCTGTTTCCCTTCCTCCTGGGCATCTTCGGCGCGGCCCACCCCAGGGGCGGAGCGCGTGGGGTGCAGGCGGGACTCTCCCATGCAAAAAAAAACCTCCCCGTCCCTGTGCGCAAATTTCTTCAACGGTGGTGCTCCTTGGAAGAATTGATGTGTGTTCTATGGCAGGGCTGAACCTGAACGTTCTGGTTCGTTTGGTTTCGTTTTGTGTGTCGTCTTGCTCAACCTGTTTTCCTGCACCCCCCTGCCAAAACGAAGAACAGAGCACAGCCGAAGTCCAGCAAAACAGCGTTTGAGTCCAGCCCTCTTCTATGGCCACTTCGCAACTTAGCATTTCAAGTCTTCATTTCGAGCTCGCTCTGTGTGGCACCTGTGGAGGTGCACCATCAACACTGGTCGCTCTGTTGCTCGCATCATACTTAAGGACCGCATCCCAGAAATACTTTCGAGCACTCAGCAAAGTGCCGAAAGAGGGTCGAAGGAGTGTCGCAACACTGTCGGACGAGTGTATCCCAGGGCCCGACACCTGAAAACCCTTGAGTTTCGGTACCGTTTCTCTGGTGCTCGAAATCCTCTGGTGATCAAGGCTAGAGTAGGTTGGAACATCATAAACTGGTCATTGTGCAGGCGGCGGATTCCAGGTTCCCTACGTGGTCTGGAGCGGGCGGCTGTTGTGAAGCTACGTGACGCCTTTGCTGGGTGGATTGTGGCTCGGCAGTCAGGCTCGGGTGGATCCTGTCTCCCCCTTCGCCCAGCCATTGGCTTCCAGCGGGGTCAGACATTCTCGTGTACTCGGGTCGGCCTGCACTCTCTACGATAGTGCAGCGTGTGTGGCGAACGTGAATCCTTCAAGTACAAGTTGCTTTATGCCGCTTGTCAATGGTCATTTTTGGTTGCACCCTGGGTTTTAAGGAACGTGAAATAACGATGAAAGCCTTGTGTGTTATCTTGCGTGTGGGCTGAGGAACCCGAGATAATGGTGAGCGTTTCACGACTGTTTCGTCGTATTCGGCTCCGCGCTCTTCGGGGAGGGCAGGCTGGTGCCGCAAGTAGGCTTCATTCGAATCACGGCTCTGTGATGGACTCCCCTCCTCCCCCCTCCACTCTCCCACTCTCCTCCCTCCCTCCTCCTCCCTCCTCCTCCCACCCTCCCTCGTCAATCCACCTCCCTGCCTCTCTATCAATTTGTCTGGGGACTCGCAAGAAGCCGCAATGTCAGCTTCTCGCCCCGCGTCCACTAACACGCGCACCTCCCTCGTCCAGAGCAGCTGCGTCTGCGCCGAATGCCGTGCGAAATATTTCAATCATGTTCCGTGTGTATTGAATCGGTGCCCCTGCGAGTGGTCCGAGCCAACTGCCAGGTCGCCCCACCACAGGCTGGCCGCTCCGGCCACTCCTGCAGAACCTCTTTCCGCGGCAAGCGCCCTCCCTCCCCCGCTGGCGTTGTGCGGCCGCCCTCTTCCCCTCTCCCCCGTGCTGCCAGCTAAGCGGTACGCCACGCGCCAAGCGCCCCGGGCTACTGGAGCGCGCGTGCGCATCGCCTCTCTGCCACGCTGCGAGGTAAGCAAACAGTGTACTGAATGGGTCGACAGCGCCCTGCTCGTCAGCACTGCCCCACAATCCAATGATACGTGGTGCAACGTCGTAGTCGTGTTCGCGCATGCCATAGGCAGTATGGAATACAGACAACGCCTTTGCACTTCATCATGCCCAGGGTGGTGACAAAGCACGAGCGCAACGAAATCCGGCCAAACCGTATGTGGCTCTGTTGTGGCAGCGCTTCCGCCACTGCACTGGACCCACATGGAATGCGGGGCCCCTTTCGTCCTCCTGCGGGCCACAACTCAGGCCTCTGGCAGCCGTTCGGAACGACTCTGACACCCCCGAGCGCGTTTCATTAAGCAGGCGCAGCTGATGGAAGCCGCCCCGAGCCTCGAAAACGCTCGAAGGCCGCCCAAAAAACTCCCACCGCGGAGCCTCGCCCCCTCTCCACCGCCCGTCTCCTCTTACGTCCCCACCCACCCCGCTTCGACTCTAGGCGCTCGCACCCCCCCCCCCAACCCGATTCTGCGCGTAGCCGTACTCGGAGCTGGCCTCCGCCGTCGGGGAGATTGGCGAGGCCCCGGCTGCAGCCACAGGCACGGGCCCGGCTACCAGCCCAGCGCAGAGGGCACAGAATGACCCCGACAACACCACGAAGCGTCATCGTAGTAGCAAGCAAACCGTACGCAGTGTAATTCGGACGCGCTCATTCGAACAGTCCTCAACGGACCGCCACAGATCCACCGAAAACAATATGCAAAGGGCAAGGACGAGGTCGACCGGTTGAGTGCTGAACTTACGAGACGAGAAGGTATTACCTGGCTACTTAGATCGCAAGCCTGAGAGACCTGTAGCTCCCCGGTACGTGGCACCACGTCGCAGTCATACGCCCCCCTGAGACGCCATAGAGAACTTGTCCGCATGCTCCTGTAATCCCACCAGCCCTCGGGCTGAGGTGGTTTGGCGAGTTTCCCCCCCTTCTCCCAATTCGGGAAGGGTTCCCCCTCCTCTGCACCCTCCCCTGGGTCTGGATGGGGGGGGGGTGCGGGTCGTTGGTGCGTCCAGGACGACCCTAAATGGCTCCAAGAGGGCCTCCGCAACTCGAAGATGACATCCACGATGGACCAAGACGGCTCAAGATAGCTCAAGCTGGCTTCCAACCTACTCCGAGTGGCCACGGAGCCTCCCATGGAAGCCAACAAGAAGCCCAAACCCTTCAAACATCAGAAGAGCATCGATGTGTGTTGCCTTCTCGCCTTTCGATGTCGACGGCCCCCCGACGTCTCAAGATGGCTCCAAGAAAGCCCAAGACGGCCCCCAACGCGCCAAAGAGCGCTTCAAGAGGGGCCCAAGATGCGAGTTTAGGGTCGGGCGACGCTGATTGAGCCCCCCTTCTTTGACCGATGCCCTCCAAGATTGATTCAAGAGGGCGCCCGAACCCCCCAAAACTTTCCCGAGAGGGCCCCAGAAAGCGCCAAACGGCCATACCGAGCCCCCAAGAAGCCCCCCAAAACCCAAGATTACTCGGGGCGCTCGATACGGAAATGAAAAATATGGTTCTGTCAACTCCCCGGCGTTACAGCGCCGCCAAAGTGGACGGACAAACTGTGCAAAGGTGAACCCTCATCCTCGACCACCTCCTGCACGGTGATATCCGCCTCCGCCCCCGCATCGTCGTCTCCTGGCAGCACGCGGACAGGCGCCAACCATGCCTCCCACTTATGATCCAGGCCCCCACTAAGGGTGGGCGTCCATGCCACGAGCGCGTGCCGAAGAACACGGCGCGAGCGGGCGGGAAGGACAACAGTGAGAAGAGCGGGGGAGCGGAGAGGCCAGTGCGCCACCAGAGGTGGTGGTGTTCGCGATGGGCAGCCCCGGCTGTGTGAGCCGCCCGCGGTGGTGTCATCGTTGATGATACGTCTCCGCAGGGTTGCGAGTCGTTTGGCGGATTTGGCCTCGGTGCTGTGGGCCTCGAGAAAGGCGCATGCGGCAGGAAGATGGGAAGGAGGAGGAGGAGGAGGAGGAGGAGAGGGGAGGAGGAGGAGGAGGAGGAGGGGGCGACTTAGTTGGGGCTGGTGGTTGCGTGGCGGCTGGCAGCGAGACTCGCGACCCTTACGCCCGTGGCGGCGCCGCGCGACGCTCGTGACCCTCAAGCCCGTCATGTGCGAGACAGCCAAAGCGGGGCACTGGTACGATGTTGGTCAAGAAGAAGAAGAAGAAGACGCTCCTCCTCCTCTTCCTCCTCTTCCACCTCCTCCTCCTCCTCCTCCTCCTCCTCCTCCTCCTCCTCCTCCCCCTCCTCCTCCTCCTCCTCCTCCTCCTCCTCCTCCTCCTCCTCCTCCTCCTCCTCCTCCTTACTTACTTACCCATCCCATTCGCGCCTTCACTGATCCGAATCTCAACCGAGCACACTGGCGCTGGGCAACTCTACGCACCTAGAGCTAAAGCTTCCACCTCGGATCCAGCCCTGCTGTCGGAGTTCCGAACACACAGGGGCGGAACGCCGCCAGAAGGCGGCGGCCGAATGGGGGAACCGCCAAGGGTCCACCCCCTTTCAGCCGCAGGGGCCGAAGGCCCTCGGACCCGAGGAAGACGCCCTGCCCGAAGCCCCCGCCCGCTGACGGCCCGCGCGGGCCGCGGAGCCTCGTACCGAAACTCCCTCACTGTCTACTTCTTGCCCTGCAACAGCTTTGCCATCTCGCCTCTGGGCGCGCGGCCTGGCTTGCGGGCACCTCCCCACTCTCTCAGTATGTGACTCATCACGCTGTTGAGACCCATCATCTTGACCCCATTCGTGAACGGCACGATCTCCAGTGGGCTCTTCTGCAGGGTGGCCTCCGCCGCGGCGTTCCCCCAAGCCTCGCTTTGCTCCTTGAGCAGCTTCTCTGCCGCCTCTGCCGTCACTCCGACGAGCACCTGTCCGAGGAGGGTGAGGGTCAGCCTGGCCTTCTTCTGGTCGTACGTCGGCGAAAACCCGTACTCCTTCACCCACTCGCTGGCCCCCGTCCCGTCCGTGTGGCTCATCATCAGGAGCAGGCGCTCGGGGACGCCCTTGAACTTCTTCATGGCTGGGCTTGACGATCCCTCGTTCAACCAGCTCGCGATAGCGGACAGATTGGAGCCGAAAATCTGCAACTCTGGCGGCCCCCTCTCGTGCTGTGGTCCTTCTTCCTTCACGATGTCCAAGTACCTCTGGTACACTTTGCGCCCGTCCTCGATTAACAAGTGGTCGTGCGGGAGGTAGATCTGAACGGTCTGCGCATACTCGAGTGTCCTCACCCGCGCTTCGAGCTGTACTGCCAGCCGTCGCGTGATCACCTCGTCTGACTCCTTGGTCTTGCTCTTCTTGTTGCCTGACGGCTGCGTCGTGCCTTCTTGCTGCCCTGAGTGTTGCAGTAGCCATGCCATCGAACTCGAGCTGGTGGCCCTGAATGTACGGGCTGAGGTGGCACTCTAAAATGTGTCGACGCAACTCTTGGGCCTCGTCCGCTACGAACTCACATAAACGGCAGTGTGAAATCATCATCCTGATCTCATTCCCTGATCTTGCACGGTCTACACATAGTCCTCTCTCGAACGCCCTGTGCATGTGCTTCTGCGCCTGCGCGTACGCGGTGAAGACCGTGCCGCAAATCGTGCACATATTGCTGAAACATGTGACTCTAAACAATATTCTCTTGCCATGCGTGCCGCCCTTCGTGTGCACGTAGTGAGAGCACAGCCTCGCTCGGTCTGGGAAACGTGCCTGGCACGGTCTACCCGCGTGATCTTCTGCCCAGCACTGGAACTCCCCGCCTACTTGACACTGTGCGTGCTCAGGCTCGTGCTCGGCTCTATGGTGAATGAAGTGCGCTCTCATGCCCGTCAGATTTAGCTTGATGAACTCTTCCCTACCCTCCAAGATCGCCCGGCGTGGATCGTGATCATAATACGATAAGAAAGTGTCGCCGTCCTCGTACGACGCCAGTTCCTGAACATCTTGGAGCCACTGCTGGGCCCACGGGTTCAACTTAGCCTCTGGGTCCAGGAACGAAGGCGTTTCCATGTCCCCGCTCTTGAGATTCCCGAAAACAACTCCCAGTAGCTGATCGGCCGACTCGGGATCGGCCATCAAACTCTGTAACCACTTAAGCCTCCTCATGCGGGCCTCCACAAATATACTGGCGCTCCCGAGCCTCGCGAGGACCTCGAGGTTGCTGGGTGCCCTCTTGGACCCATCCTCCCTGGTGGCCGCGACCCCTCCTAGAACGACTCGCCCTCTCCTCGCCACATAGCTCTCGAGCCCCGCGAAGTCCTGAACCTTCATAGGGCCCTGGGGCTTGACGAACGTTTCAATGCCCGAGATCACCGCGTTGACGACGTATCCCTTGTAAATCGAAACTTTCCACCTCTGGGAAACATTCGAGGTCCAGAAATTGCCCATGGAGGCCCAGGCTGCTTTTCCTGCGCGAATGCGGTACCCCATCTCGATCTGCACCGAGAATCTCGCTGTCATTCGTACTCCTAAATATCTAGCTGCTGCTGCTGCATGTCCCTCAAACACCCCGTCCGCTAAAATCATCTTTTCCAGATAGTACGCCCCTCGCCCACAACAGTATGGGACCGTCTCCTGCTTCGAAATGTTCTGGCCCAGCCCCATCTCGTTTAATGCCTGTGAAATCTCGATGTTTTGCCTCTTGCCCTCCACCACCGCCTCCCCCTCAGTCTTGAACTTGAACGTATCAGATATATCATCAACAAATAAACTCATGGCCGCCTGCTCCTGTCTCCCTGTCCATGGTGAAGTAACCTCAATACATGTTCTCGCCTTCAGTGCGTATTTTTCGAGCCCCCGAACGTAAGCCATAACGAATAGAAATACCATAGCAGGGTCGCCAGGCATGCATCCCTCTCGCATCCACAGCATCTGGTCGGTGGTATCGGAGAAGACAAAGTGCGCGTGCTTCACGCGATCTATCATCATTGTGATGTGCTCGTGCCTCATGTGGGCGCACACGACCTGCAACAGCTTACCCGTCTTCACCGAGAAAAATGCGTTCGACGCGTCATGGAGCCTCTTGGCGTGCTGGACTCCTGCGGCCTTCAATCTCCATGCCCCGCATAGTTGGACCACTATGGCTCCTTCCCGTCGTCGATGTTTCAGTGCTCCATAAGCCCATGACGGTGCTCCTGTGATATCTGCTCTCATCATGATGTGTCGGTAGTAAAACTTTGCCAGGCTGCATATAACCATGACCACTCGCTCTCCGTCAGCCCCCTCTTTATCGTTCCCCTTGTCTATCTTCGCCGCCTTCGCTCTCAACCAGTCTACTGGAAATCTCTGCGTAATCATAATAGCCTCCACCATCTGACGCACGTACATGTAAAAAACTGGCGTGCAGAGGTTCTCACACTCACTTTCGTGCCCAACGCCAGTACGCTGAACCATCATCTTCTCATTCACCCACTGCGGGAAAAAAAGACATCGTAATAGCTCTACACTCGAACTCCATTCTGGGTAACTTCTCCACAGCCGTGCTTTCCATATCGCTCTCTTGATCCCCTGCATCTCC